TTGTTATTGCTAACACGTGTGCCTACAACAAACAGTGACACAATACGTTATCTCTATTTCAGACGGTTCGGCTGTTAATATTATTACGGACAAGGAGAACTCCGTGAACTCTTAACTCACGCGAACTGTAAATCCCCGTTTGGCCATTATTTTTATATTGTCACCTTGTAGTGTGTTACCAATTGAATTATACTGCCCAAAACGTCTTCTGCCTTCACGCTACGTATAGTGTTGACTAGCTGACGAATGGTTCTGTCATCTTATTTTTGCTTCAGTTATCTGGCTAGCTTCTCGATATGGTTTTCCACCGGTGACACCGTTGTGTTTAGAGACAGGGTGCGCGCATCTTTCGTTTTTGGTCTGCGGATCCCAAACGGAACTGAGAGGATCGGGGGACCAACTGTCGCTTATTCAAGTCCAGAGCACATTCCCATCTACACAACACGTCCATTCCTAATATCACCTCTTGTGGAATATCCTCAGCAATAGTCATAGAATGTTTCTGTACCTGGCTCGCTAGTCATATTGCAGCGGCCGTCGTTCCCAGGACGGATATCGGCGCGCTGTAGGCCCCAGTGAGACGTTTAAGACATGGACTCACTGTATACCCCTTCAATTTACGCATAACCGAACTTTATTGAGTGACCGGGAGGCACCTGTATCTATCAGCGCTAAACATATAAGATTACAGATTGCTAGTTCGATCATCAACATGTCCTGGCTATTCGACTGGCAGCGAACAGTGGGGATATTCAACGTTTTGTTTTGCTTGGACTCACCAGTTTATCGTCCACCGTAGTTGAATGTCCTGTTATGCTAGCGGGCTGGTGGTCTGTGCTGGAACCGATAGTTGGGCCGCCACGGTCGTCGCATTCCTCGGCCTCTCTGCCACGCCTGATGTCCGACTTCTTGCGCACCATCGTGCCCCACCGCTAGACACTCTCGAGGTGCTGCTGTGGCCGCCTCCAGCTTCTCTAGATCTTCCGCACGTTTGACAGCCATCTCCAAGTTCGATGGTGGGTTCATGAGCAGATGCCGTCGTACGTTATTGGATCTGGACCCCATGACTAGTTGTTCCAGTAACTTCTCCAATTCCGAGGGCGAATCATTTTCCCATGCTCTGCTGGCCAGTCGGCGCAATTCTCGCACAAAACTTCGCACACCCTCACAGTCGAATTGGTGCCGTGCGTTGAATGGCTTCTTATATTCCACGGGTACCAGGGATGGATCCAGCAACCGTCGAAGGCACGCACATGTTTCTGCTGTAACGCCTCCCCTTATGCAGTCCTCCTCGGTCACCCTATCGAAGGCATCTCCACCAAGCAACGATAAAACAAAATTGGTATAATGTTCAGGTGGAAAATTTTCAAGATATATTTTCACTTGCTTCTCCCACCGCTGGAAGTTATCTCCAACATTGTACTTCTCCGGGACTGAGCAGGCCGCTGTTGGTTCCATGGTGGATAGTTTTTCTAACCGTTCCGTCAGCGCACTCAGAACGTTTGCCAGCTGCGTGCTGTCCGTGTCCACCGTCTGTGCTTTCGCGTCTTCACTTTTCGGAGTCTTCCGCATATTCAGGGATTTATCCTGGCAGGGTCGCCAATTTGTAACAGGCAGTCACGGAAGAAGACTCGTAAAGAATCAGGAAATTGCACTGTACATTGAAAAATGTAAATAGGAAAATGTACATGGGGGAACTCGATATTACGTGAGCCTTCAACTGCCTCCGAGTTCTTCTGTGGTTTGGTAATCCTTCACTGTTGCGGAAATGATTGGATGGGCTGCAACGTAAAAGAAAAGGCAGCTCTGTCAGAACCCCACAATTCAAAGTACCCGGTCTAATTCAACTGATGTTTTCCTTTACACCGATACAAATCCTTGTTTTACCACGCTCGGGTCATCGCCGGCGCACGTGCTCGTCCTCTTCGCAATGGCAAAGAGTAAAAACCACACCAGTCACAACCAGAGTAAGTTCCTATTTTCTGTTCTATGAAAACAATCAGACAGAAAACAACACAGAAATGGAATAGTGCGTCCGAAGAAACAACGATATCCTTCTTTGAAGGGGGTAAGGATTTTCATAAATGCTCCTAACGTTCCCTGAAGGTT